AACATTATCAACATTCCTCGTGGTCTGGTCTACTAACATTATCAACATTCCTCGTGGTCTGGTCTACTAACATTATCAACATTCCTCGTGGTCTGGTCTACTAACATTATCAACATTCCTCGTGGTCTGGTCTACTAACATTATCAACATTCCTCGCGTACAACTGACAACCAGGGATCACAACTGATAATTTGCTCCGAGCACCCCACAGTAACAAGCCAAATCGCTAGCAACATCTCAGCCCCACAATAATTAGGACTCCACCACACCAAATGTCGCATACAAATACACTTGTAACAGCGGAGTAGCGCAATTATTCTTATGCGAAAGAAGAACCCGTCTAGAAGTCCCATAATGCATTAAGCTTCTGGAACACCTAACCCCGTGCTAGGGCCACAATACTGCATGAACTCTAGAGGAGCTTGTGTTAAATCCCGAAATTTTACCTCACCTTAACAGTAAGCTAGAAATAACGGAAATAGTTTTAATTCAGCGCAAAAATCCACGCGGATAATCAACAAATACGAACAAATCCCGAGGCTCTCCTGAACTCCAATGCCAGAATATGCGCGTTTTGTGCATGAGCTCAACTGGTCCAAGCGATTAATACTTAAATTTAATCTCTTTCCAGCAGCCGTGATGAAGGCTGTTGGTGCACTCCGCTGCTCCATTTCAACATCCTGATGTTTCTATAAGGTGAGCGAAACGCGGCACAAAATCTCTCTTCACGGCAGAATTTAAAACTCGTTGATTCAAATAAAACAAGAAAATTAAACTCATTTAGAAACTGAATTTGGAGGAATTTGCAGAGAATGATATAGATTTTAATGAAGCCCATGTCATAAGGAAGACCTCTACCCTAAATAAATGAATATTTGTTAAATATTAATATACCGCTCGATAAATGAGGAAAAATAATATATCGCAAACTTAATATTCGTGATTTCAACGGTCGATGGACCTGATACGTTCATGTTTAAAACTTCTCTTACAGTCTATGCGGGTTTTTGCAAGATTGCGAGTAAACCTGGTTTACGGCTAGGTAATCCGGCTGTGTATTTATCATCGGCTCTTGGCAGTGCTGGAAAGACTGCAGTGCTAATTTTGACATAAATTTTTTACATTTGCGACAAGGTTTTTTGACATGCTTATTGCATCTTGTTGGGAACAAGGTGGAGGGGTTAGTACTCTACCCGGGTACTCACTGATTAATGTTGCTCTCGCCGTCCCCGCTCTTGGACATGCTCCCTCCCCGGGTACTCACTGATTAATGTTGCTCTCGCCGTCCCCCTCTTGGACATGCCCCCTCCCCGGGTACTCACTGATTAATGTTGCTCTCGCCGTCCCCCCTCTTGGACATGCCGCCTCCTCCGCGGCCGGGCTTCTGGCCGAAGCCCATCATGTTCATGAGGTTGTTGGCGGCGGCGGATCCTCCCCCGTACATGGTGGCGGTGGGGCATCAGACGGCGGCGGGACATGGGACCCCCTTTGCGGGGTTGTGCTATTGCCTAAGCACTATGTTGCACTAGAACACTGGCACTAGTTTGCACTAGAACACTGGCACTAGTTTGCCCTAGAACACTGACACTGGCTCCCACTAAGACCAACTGGTTTTCACCTAATGCTAAATAATGGGTTGCAATGGGACCCCAATTCGGATTTGAACAATAGCCCGATCACTGAGTCTCCCGACTGCGCGATGACTTGGTGACTGCATCGCCCCAACACTACTTTGCTTCACTATTCAAATAACTGCGCAAAGGCACTATTGCTGACCGGCATAACGACCACACCACTGGGTAACACCACCACTCTGCGATGCACTCTCGCTCGGACGCACAGTGGCGTAACAACGGCCGCAACTCTGGACTTAAGTGAGCCAAAAGTGGAAACTTCGTCAACCTTCAAAAGGCGTTCCTGTCGTTGGCTCCGAATGACGGCTGCAGAGCCAACGCAGTAGCAAGGGCTCAGCTAGTTGGGAAGTCGCGCACGACGAAAAACGCAAACTTTAGTTTCAACTTCCACGAGAATTTACTTCAGATTTTCTTGAGAAGAGTTCTTATTGCGGTGACTAATTCTGAGTTCTGACTAATGCTTCTGACTAATTCTGAACGAGCCGGAAAACGAATGGACTAAAATTTTCTTTCTCTATCTAGTCGCTGCATTCCAAATAACTTCACAAGTCAGCGAATGATCAACTTCCTGTTGTTCGTGCCATGCATCGCGCGATATCCAACTAAATTGAACATGACCATTGTGATTATTTGCTGGATAATTCGTTTGCACGGGTCAAACTTGATGACCATTGGCCAGAGTATTTCTGAATATCGCATCATTCTTGGAGCAGTAAGAAATCGCCTTCTAATCCTTGGTTTTGATAGCATTCAAGAGTCTTTAGTCAGAAGGCCACGATGTCCTTAGTTTTTCATGCGTTCAAGAGTCCTTGGTCTTGAAAGATTCAACAGGCGATAGTTCTGCAGGCGTTCGAATATTCACATAAATCATACCAGCGGCGCTCATGAACGACAGAGGAATAGCAGGATCGTCAGAATACCGCATTGATGACGAGAGCAGGACTTAATTGGTGTACTGGACTTCGTACATAGCCTTGGGATTTTGTAGTTTCTGCAATATTTGGTGGTGGCTTCAATATTTGGTGAAAGCTCATTATTTAATGCAGGATTTGTGGTCCTGGACTTGATATATTGTGATGGCCATGGTAATTTGGGGCGGTTTTGGTATTTTATGGTGCCGTTAATATTTAATGACGTGCTTAGTAATTACTTAACGTTTATTAATGCCGCGTTCTCATCAGCAGCGCGCGGAATTTCGAGTCCGTTTGATCTCAGCTCGAAATTTCAATGATAGTTTATTTAGTTTAATAAGCTAAGCGCATATTTTGATATCATAGGGAAGACCAAGTGCCTTAAACGTAAGCTAAATTTGATTGTATATAGAGAGAACACGTCTCGATATTAAAATCTTAATAGCAATGCCTCGAAATTTACGACTAAATCTTTGAGACGAAAAGAGAATGTAACGAGTCGACGAGAAACTAGGCCTAAGTAGAGTAGCTCGTCGAGTACGATAGGCCTAAGTAGAGTTGCTCGTCGAGTACGATAGGCCTAAGTAGAGTTGCTCGTCGAGTACGATAGGCCTAAGTAGAGTTGCTCGTCGAGTACGATAGGCCTAAGTAGAGTTGCTCGTGAGTACGATAGGCCTAAGTAGAGTTGCTCGTCGAATACGACAGGCCTAAGTAGAGAAGTTTAACTGACTAATGAGAACGCAATCAAGACAATAGCAAGAACACAGATGCCATGCAGTGCCGAACACCCGAGTACAAATAACTTTAAACTGTTGTTCAATTGTCCTCAGGATATCTTAACTTCAGATCAACATTCTTTTTGTATTTTCTTTTTTGTATTAACATTTCTTTTCTTGTATTATTATTTCTTTTTTTTTTGTATTAACAAAATTCACCGCAATATCATATCGAAATTTCTTATTTCCAATCCTTAAAAGATACACCTAATTAACACGAAAGTTAAAGAGCACTCGTGTCTTAGAGCACAGTGGTACCTACACGAAAAATCCGACATGTGACTTCAAAATCTCGTCATTTGAATATTTGAACAATTTTTCTTCACAACTTTAAGCATATTTTCCCAATTTCAAGACACTTTATCAAGATTCTAACTCATTTTCATTACCGCAAACCAATTTTTATTCGAAAATTTCAGGACCGACACTGTTATGTGTGCGCCACGATGTTGATTATTGAGAACCCGCACTTCAGTATATCTTAAAGAGACTTGAAAATTTGAGAGTGTAGAAGATATCTCTTCCTATTTAACGGTAACATTTCGTGTCCATATCGGCACCAACAATACCGATTCAACACCTATCATTATATCAGAGAACACCATTATTATTATGATATCAGAGAGCCCTAGAATTATAATTATTATATCAGAGCACACAACTATTTAGGCACACTTCAAACTGCTCTCATCACAGCTAGCGACCAGATTTAATTTCTACAATTTGCCAAAGCTGTGAACTTAGCGCGTGGTTCAAACTCACTCAAAGTTAAGCAGAGAAAACTTGTGCATTGACAGCAGGATAAGAGATAAGCAGGCAAGAAGCAGATCGCGCGTGGACACAGAAGCTGCGGCACGAACTACGAAGTACAGCTACACGACACCACGCGCAGCACAACCTCACCGCACGACGGCTCTATGAAGACTGGGCAGCTTAGACGTGGCGGGCCATGGTGGACATGGCGGGCCATGGTGGACATGGCGGGCCATGGTGGTTATGGCGGACCATGGAGGACATGCATGACAGGCCATGGTGAGCATGGCGGTCCATGGTGGACATGGCCAACACTGATGTCCACCAACACTGTTAATGCTGATTGGCTAATAAACACTGGTGAACCCATTAGCCAATCAACACACAAGTTGCTGACTCAACCAGCCAGTGGCGATTGACCAGCCATAGTTTATGGGTCGCGTGCCGAAGACCACCACTGCCCTGGATGTAATGGACCATCATGATTCCTGCCTTCTGGAACGTAGCCATCAACACTTCTGGACAATCATATCTAGGCCGTGGGTCGAACCAGCCCTCGGTCGAACGGCCACTTGTCGAAGGACGATAAATTTTGGAACAGAACTATGCTATCTGAAACCTAACCTCAGATGCGGTGAACGTTAAATTACGTAATTTAACGATGCCCGAAAGTCAGATTCGATCCGCGGCCTGGTGGTGCACGGCAGGTTCTATGCGAGGCCGGAGAAAGACAAAGCCGAGTGGTTAACGGCTGATTGGTTGCTGTCCGGAGAGATCCAAGGCGTTCGATTCAGGGCTTATTGGTGCACAAAATTGGTGGTGCACGGCTGCGCTCCCCCCGATACCAGTAAGTGAATAAATTGAGTTCTTGGGCGATAAACTATGGGAGCGCAGCCGTGCACCACCAATTTGTGCACCAATAAGCCCTGAATCGAACGCCTGGGATCTCTCCGGACAGCAACCAATCAGCCGTTAACCACTCGGCTTTGTCTTCCTCCGGCCTCGCATAGAACCTGCCGTGCACCACCAGGCCGCGGATCGAATCTGACTTCCGGGCATCGTTAAATTACGTAATTTAACGTTCACCGCATCTGAGGTTAGATTTCAGATAGCATAGTTCTGTTCCAAAATTTATCGTCCTTCGACAAGTGGCCGTTCGACCGAGGGCTGGTTCGACCCACGGCCTAGATATGATTGTCCAGAAGTGTTGATGGCTACGTTCCGGAAGGCAGGAATCATGATGGTCCATTACATCCAGGGCAGTTGTGGTCTTCGGCAGGCGACCCGTAACGGGGGCTCTAGAAGACCATTGACTAAACACCAGTCCTGTGACCATTGATGACCAGATGCCTTCAACTCTCGACATTCAACGACAAATTTAAACTAAAGCAGCACGCATTTGCATTTACAATGACAAAGCATTACGAAAAATAAAAAAAAATTTTCCTATTCGACTTCCTACCTATTGACCGAATCATCGAAAGGCCAATTTGTCCACCGATTGCTGCCTTCGAGAAGCTGGAGGTGGTGGTAATCGGAAACTTCTATCCCTGCTTCTCATGCCCTTAGAATGCATTCACAAATATTAGCAACAGCCTTGATGTCTACTTCAAAGTTCGTAAATAACCTCATATTTGAAGGATAAATTTCATTAAAACAATGAAAAAATATGGAAGGCACACAAATTTCTGCAAGAACAAACTATGCACCAAAGTCGCCAGAGCGAGCAAACTCTGGACTGCGCCTGACGCCACACTTCCGTGTCACTGGGAATTTCCGGAACGATCTGAAATATAAATACCTACCATGTTAAATGAAAAAATTCCGGAACAACCCAAAATATGCCAAAAAAAATTTTTAGAAAATAACTTCTTTCTGAAAGTTATGAATCATATCATATCATAGTGATGACGGTGCCTGATGTGGCCTGACGCCGATTCTTGTACTTTTCGTGGCTGGTTCACAGGAGATCTAAATACAGGTACTTCGACCTAATCTTTTAAAACTGACAACAGTTTGCAATAGCTACTAGACTTCCATTAGGTTCGATTTGGTGCTGGGCATTTAAAGTCTGAATATATATTTCTCCATAGCTTTATCCAGTCTGTTGCTCATTAAAATTTTAAAGTAATAGTTAAGCCATGGCATTCAATATCAGGTACACTGATATAAATAATATAAGTGGGCGACCGCTGAGAACTCTTGATCCCTTAGCTCCTGGCCAGACTTGGTACTGAGCTATAATAATTTGTGGTTAGTGAAGCTTATTAGCAAATATTTTCCGGGTTTGGTGGTTGCCTCGTGGCCTTGACGCCGCATGGAACATCTCAGTCGTGCTCTTGCTTCGTACATGACAAGATGTGGCACTCTCGCCTCTCGTGTGTTGCAGCGATTCTGCTCACTGTCATCAAAGCGACTTTGGCTCAGCGTAAGTAGAGTTTACAAGCGTAATTAACTTGTTTGAAGCTCATCATCGTTCGTACAGACGAATTGTATCAATAGTGTGCGTGGTAAACGAATCCTCGTATCTCTTCGTGGACTGCATTTCTAAGAACGGTGACGAGCATCGTACGTGATGCCGAGAAGGTAAATTTTAGCGAAGCTGTAGGGGGTAAGCCAGAGACCCGCTGGTGTCTTGCAAGTAATTTTGTGATAATATTTAATAAAATGTATTGTGTAACTAAATTAGTGATATGTGGCGTTTAATTCGGTGCCTAAAATCTGAGGAGATCAAATTATTTCTGAACATAAATTGTACCAATATGATTATAATAAAAATGTGAAGAGATAGTAATTTACCAATATTGTATAAATATCCTGGAATTATTACACAAAATTTCCAGTCCAGATATCCTAAACTATTTTAATTTTCAGATTTCAAAAACGTAAACAAAATTTTCCTGTATTAGGAAAGAGGAATATTGCCAATGTAAGATCAATGTAAAAGATAAATTTCTTCCAATTTCCATGAATATTTCCTACGCAGGCTGCACGGTGGGAGGCACGCAGTCCAACCCCGGGCGCTGCACGCCGCTGCGCAACTGCCCGCAACTCGCAGACAAGTTCCAGCCCCTGGACATAGCGAACTTCATTGCCACGCATGCGTGTGGCGTGGAACAGTGAGTTGTGTGGCGTGGAACAGTGAGTGGTGTGGCATGGAACAGTGAGTGGTGTGGAACAGTGAGTGGTGTGGCGTGGAACAGTGAGTGGTGTGGAACAGTGAGTTGTGTGGCGTGGAACAGTGAGTGGTGTGGAACAGTGAGNATTACCGCACTTGAAGTGAGAATCTTGAAGGCATAAGCCAGAATCTTTGTATTACCGCACTTGAAGTGAGAATCTTGAAGGCATAAGCCAGAATCTTTGTATTACCGCACTTGAAGTGAGAATCTTGAAGGCATAAGCCAGAATCTTTGTATTACCGCACTTGAAGTGAGAATCTTGAAGGCATAAGCCAGAATCTTTGTATTACCGCACTTGAAGTGAGAATCTTGAAGGCATAAGCCAGAATCTTTGTATTACCGCACTTGAAGTGAGAATCTTGAAGGCATAAGCCAGAATCTTTGTATTACCGCACTTGAAGTGAGAATCTTGAAGGCATAAGCCAGAATCTTTGTATTACCGCACTTGAAGTGAGAATCTTGAAGGCATAAGCCAGAATCTTTGTATTACCGCACTTGAAGTGAGAATCTTGAAGGCATAAGCCAGAATCTTTGTATTACCGCACTTGAAGTGAGAATCTTGAAGGCATAAGCCAGAATCTTAGTACGTATTACCGCACTTGAAGTGAGAATCTTGAAGACATAAGCCAGAATCTTTGCGCTACCGCAGGTCTGGCACCAACGATGTGCTTGTCTGTTGCCCTCTCGTCATCGCGGCCAGCGGCAGCATCTCCTCAGGTAAGAACGCAAGTTTTTCTTCTTAAAAATTACGCATAATGCAGTATTTTGTGTTGGCTCTTAAACATGTGATGTATGGAAGTCAATACAGTTAAATGCATAGTCTAATAATTCCATGTCGCACTAATACGCTACTGTATGCACTAATACGCTACTCTATGCTCTAATACTCTACTCTATGCACTAATAAGCTACTCTATGTACTAATCCGCTACTATATGCACTAATACGCTACTCTATGCACTAATACGCTTCTTTATGCACTAATAAGCTACTCTATGCACCAATACGCTACTCTATGCACTAATACGCTACTCTACGGGGGACTGGCAGGACTTAACTTTCACAATCGAAGAACAGATTGGGGGGCAATTTGGAATGAAATGGACGAAATCGATTGGAGAGCGGAGTTTCAAGAGATGAATGCAGAAGAAATCTACACAAAACTGTGTGAGAAACTAGCACAGGTATGTGTGCGTCATACACCAAGAAAATCAGGGCCTAAAGTCCGCAGCATTCCGAGAGACAGACGAATCCTTATGAGAAAACGCAAGCGATTAAATAAACAAATAGCTAAATCCACTAGTGATACGAGAAGACAGAGGCTAGTAAATTTGCACAAGAAAATTGAACTCAGGCTTCAGGTCTCGCACAGGATGGAAGAACAAGCCGCGGAAGAGCGAGTGGTTGAGGTCATCAAAGAGAACCCCAAATATTTTTTTTAAATATGCTCAGTCCAAGGCTAAAATAAAGACGCCAGTAGGCCCGCTTAAGGAAAACGAAGTCATTGTTGGAGATGACCAGGGCATGTGTGAGTTACTGGGATCTCAGTTTGAATCAGTGTTCAGTAACCCCCGCTACTCAAGGGAGGAGAATGAAATTGAAGTTCTCCAGGAGCTGCCAGGCGGTATAGAGTTGGAGAACATTGAGTTTGGACCGGAAGACATGGAAATAAGTATCAAAGAATTGGCGACGTTTTCAGCACCAGGACCCGACGGAATTCCGGCAGTGCTGTTGAAGAAGTGTGTTGGAGCACTGAACGCTCCGCTCACAATGCTCTGGAAAGCCTCGATAACAGAGAGAATTAACCCTGAGGGTCTCAAAGTGGGACTGATAACGCCAATCCACAAAGGAGGTCCGAGGGACAGACCCCAAAATTACAGACCTGTGACCTTGACCTCACATGTGATCCAGGTTTTTGAGAAGGTAGTGGTCAGGAGGCTTGTCCGGTATATGGAAGAGGCTGACCTGTACAATAACGGACAACATGGGTTCCGGCGTAATCGTTCCTGTTTGTCGCAGTTACTGGAGCATCACCACCATCTAGTGGCCCAGCTAGAGGAGGGAGCTGGCGTGGACGTGGTATACCTAGACTTTTCTAAAGCTTTTGACAAAGTTGACCATGGGGTGCTCTTTAGAAAGCTGAGGCTGTTGGGGGTAGGAGGAAGCCTGTTAAGGTGAATCCAAAACTTCCTTAAAGATAGAGTACAAGCTGTCGCAATTGGACTCGAAATCGAGAGAAGCGAAGGTGAAAAGCGGAGTTCCGCAGGGCTCAGTGCTTGGACCGATCCTCTTCCTCATCCACATTGCCGATATTGACTCAGAACTCACCCATGCATCTACATCGTCATTTGCGGACGATACAAGAGTGCTGATGAAGATCACAGATGGCCTAGACTGCGAGAGGTTACAGGATGATCTATCGTCAATCTACGATTGGGCCCTAGTGAACAATATGCAGTTCAACGGCACCAAGTTCGAAGTAATGAGATACAGACACCGCACAGAGATCGGGATGCCACATCGCTACTTGGCATCAGATGGCACAGAAATTGAGGAGAAGCAACTAGTTCGAGACCTCGGAGTGTTGATGAGTACTGAAGCCTCATTCGATGCCCATATCGAGGAAATAGTCGCGCGCAACCGGCAAAGGCGGACATTTCAATATGGCGGACATTTCGAACGAGAGAAGCAGCACCAATGATTACACTCTTCAGAGCCCTCGTGCTCTCCAATCTTGAGTATTGCTGCCAGCTTTGGTCGCCACTCAAGGCGGGTGCGGTGCGGAAACTGGAGGCAGTGCAGCGGACCTTCACGTACAGGATCAGCGGCATGAGGGAGCTGAACCTGAACTACTGGGAAAGGCTGAAACACCTGGAACTGCACTCACTGGAGAGAATAAGGGAAAGGTATATCATACTGTACACTTGGAAGATGATAAACGGACTGGCTCCCAACTTTGAGAGTGAGACCTCCAAAATAATGACATATTACAACGAAAGAAGGGGGAGACTGTGCAGGATTCCCCCATTTAATAACCGAGCCGCGGCCAGAGTACAGACTCTTCATGAGGGATCACTGTCCGTGGTAGGACCGAGGCTCTTTAATGTCTTACCAAAAGCGCTGAGAGGAGGGGAGTTTACTCTTGCAACATTCAAGAGACAACTGGACAAGTGGTTGAGAAAGATCCCGGATTGTCCAGTAATGGGAAACCACCCTCAGCAAGTTACAAGCAATAGCATCTTGCATCAAGTGGCCCAAAGGAGGGCAAATAGACGGAACACGTCCAACGTTACATCCGACGACGACTCGGAGACGGAGGACGACGAAGGCGGCGCATCATCGTGACCGTGGACTACGACGTCCTAAACTCATCATAAGGTCTACGCACTAACACGATGCAATGTCCGCTATTCCTGTCTCTATACGCTGTACAACAGATATCAAGCTAGTTTCCCCGACACTGTCTTCACGGTTTGTAGTGACAGTTGTCAACAGTTCAATAACTTACCAGGCAAGACAATAGCTGCTGACTCTCATGCCAACTCTTCCTGGACCGCTGAAACCAATTGAAATTTCGTAACTTTCCTTATTTGTCATTTCGTGATCGCACAAATTCAGGCTGTATTACTTTTTTCTTTGTTTTCTTTTAATAACTATGTTGGATAAAATTAAAAAACAATAAATAAACAAATTTTACTATGACTAACACTGCCTTAATTAGTCTACGATGACTAACACTACCTTAATTAAACATCATTGGTATTCAATTTTCAACACATCTTATAATCAATTACAAAAATTCAGAGAATGGACAACAATTTCAAGTCCAGGATAACAGATATTGTTTATATGTGAAGGTGATCTCATTAGCGTTATGAGATGGTGGGATTATTTCTGAGCAGCGTAATGCATGCTAATAACTGCTTCATTGTAAGGTAAGTCCATCAGTATTGCTAATACGTCCAATACTCGACATGAGAACTTACGGCCAACCTGAAATGGTTTAGATAGCCGCCATACGACGTAGGGTATAACAGTGGGCGGCTGACCAGCGCCTGACCAGCGCCCTACTTTACGTGGTAGCCAGTCACGTGGTGAGCACTACAGTAGGGTGCTGACCAGCGCCTGACCAGCGCCCTACTTTACGTGGTAGCCAGTCACGTGGTGAGCACTATACAGTAGTGTGCTGACCAGCGCCTGAGCAGCGCCTGACTAGCGCCCCACTTCACGGTAGCTGCAGTCACGTGGTGAGCACTGCAGTAGGCGCCTGACCAGCGCCTGAGCAGCGCCTGACCAGCGCCCCACTCCACGCTGTGCCAGTCGGGTGATCATTTCAATGAACCAATTACTATTTAGTTCTCCCCTTCAAAGGATTCTTAGAGGTCAATGGAAGAAGGAATTAATTCTGTTATTTTCCCGCGTCATATGTTCTTATTTCTTTATTTATTTATGTACTTATTGAGGGAAATTTAATGAAACGATGATCTTGAATTTTCAGGCCCCAGACCTGAGCCTGTCACGTGCGGGTCTCGGAAAGCGGCAGAAGTGAGTTAGTGATTTGCTAGTGAACACTAATGGCTTCCAGGCTAGTTAGTCGGTGACGTGCTAGTGAACACTAATGGCTTCCAGGCTAGTTAGTCGGTGACGTGCTAGTATAGTGAGTAGGTGACGTGCTAGTGAACACTAATGCCATCCATGCTAGTGAGTAGGTGACGTGCTAGTGAACACTAATGCCATCCACGATAGTGAGTAGGTGACGTGCTAGTGAACACTAATGCCATCCACGCTAGTTAGTTGGTGACGTGCTAGTGAACACTAATGCCATCCTCGCTAGTTAGTTGGTGACGTGCTAGTGAACACTACTGCCATCCATGCTAGTGAGTAGGTGACGTGCTAGTGAACACTAATGCCATCCACGCTAGTGAGTTGGTAAATAGTGTGTTAGTTGCGTGCTAGTGCGGCCAAAAATCTTCTATGCTAGTGTGTTAGTGAGGCCAGAAGTTAGTACGGAAAATGGCGATTTGACAAAAATCAAAAATCAAATGTACGAAACAAGAAATCCTGGATTGTCCTTCTATCAGTCCTAGCTTACCACATTTATTATATCACTCATCAATATTTAAATCACGTATTATCATCACTTCTACCACTCATCATTATCAATAATTAAATCACATATTATCATTACTTAAGTCACTCATCATTATGAATAATTACATCACCTATTATCATCAGTTCTATACCACTCTTCATTATCATTATCATCATTATATGACTAATCATTATCATCATTATATGACAAAGCATTATCATTATCATCATTATGTCACACATCATTATCATTATCATCATTATATGACTCATCACTATCATTATCATCATTATATCATACATCATTATCATTATCATCATTATATCATACATCATTATCGTTATCATCATTATATCATGCATCATTATCATTATCATCATTATATCACACATCATTATCAATATCATCATTATATCATACATCATTATCATTATCATCATTATATCATACATCATTATCATTATCATCATTATATCATACATCATTATCATCATTATATCTTACATCATTGTCATTATCATCATTATATCACACATCATTATCATTATCATCATTATATCTTACATCATTGTCATTATCATCATTATATCACACATCATTATCATTGTTATCACTATCCCCCTCATCATTATCATCGTTATCATTATGTGACTAATCATTATCATCATTATATGATCATCATCATCATTGTTATCATTATATGATCATCATTATCATTGTTATCATTATATGATCATCATTATCATTATCATCATTACATCACTCATCATTATCATTATTATCATTATATCACTCATCATTATCATTATCATCATTATATCACTCATCGTTATCATTATCATCATTATATCACTCATCATTATCGTCACTATATCACTCATCATTATCCTCCTCATCATTATCCTCCTCATCATTATCCTGATCATCATCATCATTGTTATCACAATAACTGCCGCCCCTACAGGATGGCGCGGACTGGCCGTTCATGGTGGGGCTGGGGGCGGTGGCCCCCGGGCAGGGCCTCACCATCGTCTACTGCAACGGGGCCCTCGTGGCCCCCCTCTGGGTGCTGACGGACGCCTCGTGCCTGCAGCAGAACCTCATGTGAGGCTGGGGGCTTGTAAGGCGTGCAGAACCTCATGTGAGGCTGGGGCTTGTGAGGCGTGCAGAACCTCATGTGAGGCTGGGGCTTGTGAGGCGTGCAGAACCTCATGTGAGGCTGGCAGCTTGTGAGGCGTACAGAAAAGGAACTGGATTTCACCTTGAATTGGTAGTTCGTACAACAAGAACAGGTATTACCAAAAGTTCAGTTGCAGCATATATACATCCGACATTGTAAGCAAAATGTGCCCAACTTACCCAATGAAATTTTTGTTCAATGAGATGCCTGTATGTTATGTTTGTGTCGCCTTCAGCTCGACGGCATTTTTGGGACTCGGGCGCGCTGACAGGAGCAAGATCGTGAGCGTTCCCGTGGTCTTCACGCGCCGCCCCACGGACTTCGACAGCGCCAGAGACTTGAACGCCCTGGCGCTCGTCAAGCTCGGACAGCCAGTCAGCGCCACAGGCAAGTCGGGTGCTCCAGACAAGCTCCATTGACCCAAATGCTCGGGATTCTCTTTTTTTAGACTTATATCCCAGTATTGATCCAAACAATATTTGTTGCATTTGTTCATCTTGATTGTGGCGATTATTTGTTCAAAAACTTGTTGCGTTTTCTCTCACCTGGATGTTTTATTTCCTCAACAGACGACATCCAGTTTGTCTGCCTCCCGACCTCGCGAGGCTACGACCCTTCCAGCCCTCGCTATGCCCTCTACGTCACCCACATTGATGATGGCAGTGTGGCAGGTAGTGACGGTGGCAGTGTGGCAGGTAGTGACGGTGGCAGTGTGGCAGGACGTGAAGAGAAGCTTCTTAGCTATTGGCGTCTGAGAAGCATTTCATTACTTGACTTTTTAGTGCTCCTTGTTCGTGTGGAGGCGAGAATTACAATAATAAATAGCAGACAAAACGGACCAATGCTTTCGTCAATTATGATATTGTCCGGACTCCTGCCGCTGCCATCCTCCCCTGTATGTAGGATACCTTCACCGCCACGACCATCCTCCCCTGTATGTAGGATACCTTCACTGCCACGACCATCCTCCCCTGTAGGTAGGAGACCTTCACTGCCACGACCATCCTCCCCTGTAGGTTGGATACCTTCACTGCCACGACCACCCTCCCCTGTAGGTAGGATACCTTCACTGCCACGACCACCCTCCCCTGTAGGTAGGATACCTTCACTGCCACGACCATCCTCCCCTGTAGGTAGGAGACCTTCACTGCCACGACCACCCTCCCCTGTATGTAGGATACCTTCATTGCCACGACCATCCTCCCCTGTAGGTAGGATACCTTCACTGCCACGACCACCCTCCCCTGTAGGTAGGATACCTTCACTGCCACGACCATCCTCCCCTACCTTCACTGCCACGACCACCCTCCCCTGTATGTAGGATACCTTCATTGCCACGACCATCCTCCCCTGTAGGTAGGATACCTTCACTGCCACGACCACCCTCCCCTGTAGGTAGGATACCTTCACTGCCTCGACCATCCTCCCCTGTAGGTAGGATACCTTCACTGCCACGACCACCCATACCTGTAGGTAGGATACCTTCGCCTGTATGCAAGATGCCTATATATTGTATTAGCATAGTATTATATTACAAATGATGTATTAAGAATTTAAAAGCAAAGAAAAGTCCACAAAAATTCACATCTTTATAGAAAACGTTAATTTTTAATTAAAGTTAAGGGGAGCGTCTAGGGTAAAATTTTGGATTTCGGCTTTTCCGGTTTTTAGTCTCATCTTAAAGCTGACATTCTGATCTATCCAACGGTACCAAAACCATCTCTGTACGTTGATTTATGCGTTCACGACAGATCATGAAAGGGAGGGGGGTGGGGTAGTTCTTTAACAAATAGAATGGGAGGAAATTCGCTGCGAGCACTTTAAATAGAGTGTCTGCTTGAAGTGCACCTTAGTTACCCGCCTGGCGTCGTATGAGGAGGTGTGCATGCAGTCGCTCCCACCATCCTTGACTGGAATCAAGCTCCAGTAACGTTTAGTTTTGTATCCTTGCTACATTGAGTGCCTATTCCGATGCGCGCGGGACTTTGACGGGCTCTACTGAAAAGTTAACTTATTGTCACTGCAAACCTATCTCCTCCTAGAGTTTTTAAGCTACAACAATGAGACAAATACCATTCGATGCGCAACAAAATTATCTAGAACGTAACACGTGCGTTTTTCCAATTTCGTTATAGTTTGGATTTTATTCCGCAAAAGGGGGGGTGGCGGGGGTAAAATCGAAAAATTTTCGAAAAATTTACGAAAAATGCTCCCACACCCACAAAAATGAGAAATCCCAAAAACCCTCGTGTTGCGTTTTAGATATGGTCTTGACGCATCGCATGATATGTGTCTCAATGTTTTAGCTTGAAAATCCTAGGAGGAGATAAATTTCTACGGTACCCCCTTTTTTGGCCGTTTTCTAAGAATTTCACGTTTTCGTTTATTTTTTTCGAAAAATTCACACGAACAAAAATGTCTTAGAATTCTATTTTACATATGTGTAACAAGTTTCAGAGTGATCCGTTTGTAAATAACCGAGATAAATTTTACCCTAGACGCTCCCCTTAATTTGCGAAATAAGCAGACAAGTGATATAAATTTAAATGATATAATATCTGGGTGCAAAACTTTAATTGTTAAAGTTAATTTGCGATATAAGCAAACCAGTGATATAAATTCAAATGACATTATCTGGGTGCAAAACTTTAATTGTTAAAGTTAATTTACGATATAAGCAAACAAATGATATCTATTCAAATGACATATTATCTGGGTGCAAAACGTTAATTGTTAAAGTTAATTTACGATATAAGCAAACAAGTGATATAAATTCAAATGATATATTATCTGGGTGCATGACAGGAGGGTTCGATGTAGCGGAGCGCAGCCTGCACAGCGTGTCGCTGACCCAGTGCCGCGCCTCGGCCGGCATCTCGGTCTACCCCAGCGACTACCACCTCTGCACCAACGGGCTGCAGGCGTGCGTGAGTGGGGTGAGTGAGTGGCGTGCGTGAGTGGCGTGCGTGAGTGGCGTGCGTGAGTGGCGTGCGTGAGTGGCGTGCGTGAGTGGCGTGCGTGAGTGGCGTGCGTGAGTGGCATTCGTGAGTGGCGTGCGTGAGTGGCGTGCGTGAGTGGCGTAAGTGAGTGGCGTGCGTGAGTGGCATGAGTAAATGGCATGCGTGAGTGGCATGTGAGTGCCGTGCGTGAGTGGCCTGCGTGAGTGGCATGCGTGAGTGTCATGCGGCATCAGTGGCATGTGGCATGAGTGGCAGGCGGCATGAGTGGTATGCGGCATGAGTGTTATGCGGCATGAGGGGTATGCGGCATGAGTGGTATGCAGCATGAGTGGCATGCGGCGTGAGTGGCAGTTACTTACGATCAATACAGTTTTTTCGAATCCCGTCTCCACAAATCTAGAGTCACTTCAAACTTAATAATGTATTAGCACTTCATTTTACTCTGGTTTTTATACTCTAATATAACGAATGAGTTTTAATTTTGACTAAAATTCACACCCACCAAGTAAAAATCGTATCTCAGCTTCGATATTCCAACATTCCCCTCTTACGTTTTTAAATGTTATTCAACCATTAGAAATTTGATACGCGCACGATCAGTCCCTTTATAGTATATGTATATACTCACGGCGTCAGGGTTCGAACACACAAACTTTCACAAATATTTAGTATAAACAAATCAGCAGAAGCCCGGCGTTGCTCGCGATCAATAATCTCTGCAATTTTAGAATCCTGTTGTCCTGAACCATGTTAATAAGAATATGATTAATGTAATGTACGTAATTAAGTAACACAAATAAAATTTTGTGTAGTAATACTGGCACCACAGATATATGGGGGCTGTTGGGGCGCGTATCCAGGATACTTATCGTGTCGAGATATTGTATATAGGGGCTGTTGGGGCGCGTATCCAGGATACTTATTGTGTCGGGATATTGTATATAGGNCTGTCAGAATGTTCGCATGAATGTTCCACCTGTTCCCTGTCAGAATGTTCGCATGAATGTTCCACCTGTTCCCTGTCAGAATGTTCGCATGAATGTTCCACCTGTTCCCTGTCAGAATGTTCGCATGAATGTTCCACCTGTTCCCTGTCAGAATGTTCGCATGAATGTTCCACCTGTTCCCTGTCAGAATGTTCGCATGAATGTTCCACCTGTTCCCCGTCAGAATGTTCGCATGAATGTTCCACCTGTTCCCCGTCAGAATGTTCGCATTAATGTTCCACCTGTTCCCCGTCAGAATGTTCGCATGAATGTTCCACCTGTTCCCCGCCAGAATGTTCGCATTAATGTTCCACCTGTTCCCTGTCAGAATGTTCGCATTAATGTTCCACCTGTTCCCCGCCAGAATGTTCGCATGTCCCGACCTCTGCTGGTCGGTCTTGGCGAGGGCGGAGGCTTCGTGCTGCTGGGCGTTGGTGGGGTCACAAACGACCGCTGTACTTCTGACGTCACGGCCTTCACGGAAATCAGCAAATTCGATCATTGGCTGAAAGCAATTATGGAGTGAGCCACCATCATGAAAGTACCATTAACGGGCAATTAATTCAGCATTTCTCTTATTAACTCATTCATTCTCTTACAATTAATTCAGCATTTCTCTTATTAACTCATTCATTCTCTTACAATTAATTCAGCATTTCCCTCATTAACTCATTCATTCTCTTACAACTAATTCAGCATTTCCCTCATTAACTCATTCATTCTCTTACAACTAATTCAGCATTTCTCGTATTAACCCATTCATTCTCATACACATTCTCGCCATTTACGCTGATATGCAATTACAATTTTTGCAGTAATATACATAGACATTGAAATAATATACAGACATTGTGCTACCTAGATTTGTGATGGATTTATCAGAGAATCATAATTTGGCTCAGGCGTGCAGCTTGTAGAACCTCATTAAATTTTCATTAAATACTGCAATGAAAGGAATAGCCTCAAAGTTTTAGAGTAATTCAGAAATGTTAGAATATCGACAATTGTGAGTTAATAAAAAAAAACGAGCTTCACGACATTAATACTCTCTTTTCATTTCATAAGGTATGAATTATTGGCCACGTGTATATTAAATCATTGAATAAATTAGGAATTATGCGCCGCTTGAACATCATTCAACCCCCCAGACCCCCGACCCTTCATCCTCACCCCCATCATCCCCCCAGACCCTCGACCCCTCATCCTCCTGTCTCTTATACACATCTAGATGTGTATAAGAGACAGGAGTGGCCGTTCATGGCAGGCTTGGGGCAGGCGAGCGGCCAAGTTGCTGCGAGCTTCAAGAGCAGCTGCACGGCCGTCCTGCTCACTGAGCAGTTCCTGCTCACCGACGCTCGATGTCTGCAGAACAATCAAGTGTGAGTAGAGGAGCTTAAGAAGAAATCTTTTATTTATAGAGAAAACACTCGTGGCATCTAAATATTAAACAGCATGCGACTCTTGCCAACATACATAATGTTTATGGTTTCATTGGATCAACCTTCCATTTAATGCAGACATCTCCGTTTTTCGATGTACAGACTTCAGCAGTCTCGGTGTTATAGACTTCACTGTTACACGAAGAAGTCAGTAACGAATTTAAAAATTCATTCAGTAATGAATTGAAACATACACTTTCAGTGAATTAAGGGGAATAAAAATAGTTCAACCGAAAATAAAATTCAGATGCTAAATGAGGGGAAATAGCATGACGGGAAACCCAGTTGATGTAGCATTTTATCACATGCTTCATCTAACATTGAACAGATCGTGGATGACGTAATTTCTGTGATGATCTTTGTTGATATTTTGCTTGACTTGCTGCAGAAACTACGCGGTTGTCGGGTACAACGCTGGTCCAGCAGCGGCAGTGTACGTGCCAATTGAGGCTCAGCTGACACCTCCTTACTATGTCAGAGGGAGCGACCACAACTCAGTGGCTCTCGTCAAGCTCGCGACTAACGTCAGCTTCAGCTGTGAGTTATTATCTTATAACATCAGTTCATGATATCACTTCTGACACGACATTCGCCTGGAGCCCCAGCGGATGCCAGGGCGGGTATTACATGAGAGCTGTCAGCCAGAATTAGGAAGCAAGGAATGGATCCAAGGACCAGTAAAAGTTATACTTGACGTCCATCGCACCACGTCCAAGATCCTCCCACCACCTGTGGAACAGACCGAGTTTCGAGTTAAAGTAGTCGCTTGTGTACATTGAGTAGTTGCTTGTGTACATCGAGTAGCTTCTTTGTAAAGGATTTCGGGACCACTACTCCAACCGTAGTAGAGAGAAGCTGGAAAATTCTAATTACGGTACAGGGTTAGTTCAGACAAGGAATCTACTGCAGTCACACCAACGCTACCAGACCTCGCCACGGGAGGCAAATCGAAAAACGCGTAACTTACTTAGTATTTAATAATCAATATAAATCAAAGAAGGAAAAGTAAAGGAAGCCAGGTTACAGGTGCCCTTGAACAGCGGGGGTAGTGAGATCGCCGGGGTTGCAAGGTTCCACCAGGATGCACGGTTCCAAAAGGATGCAAGATTCTACCAGGATGCAAGGTTCCACCAGGATGCAAGGTTCCACCAGGATGCAATGTTCTAAAAGGATGCAAGGTCCCACCAGGATGCAAGGTTCCAAACCAGGATGCAAGGTTCCACCAGGATGCAAGGTTCCACCAGGATGCAATGTTCTAAAAGGATGCAAGGTCCCACCAGGATGCAAGGTTCCAAAAGGATGCAAGGTTCCAAAAGGATTCAAGGTTCCAAAAAGATGCAAGGTTCCACCATGATGCAAGGTTCCACCAGGATGCAATGTTCTAAAAGGATGCAAGGTTCCAAAATGATGCAAGGTCCCACTCAGGATGCAAGGTTATACCAGGAAGCAAAGTTCCAAAAGGATGCAAGGTTCCAAAAGGATTCAAGGTTCCAAAAAGATGCAAGGTTCCACCAGGATGCAAGGTTCCACCATGATGCGAGGTTCCACCAGGATGCGAGGTTCCACCGGGATGCAAGGTTCCACCAGGATGTACGGTTCCACCAGGATGCACGGTTCCACCAGGATGCAATGTTGCACAAGGATTCAAGGTTCCAAAAGGATGAACGGTTCCACCAGGATGCAAGGTTCCAAAAGGATTCAAGGTTCCAAAAGGATGCACCGTTCCACCAGGATGCCAGGTTCCACCAAGATGAAAGTGGTGCGGCTGAGTTCAAAGCTTAAAGCACCATGGTAGGAGGATGAGGAGCTAGTACGTATTACTCGTGGATGAGTAGCCCCTTGGTGGCCAGTCAGGAGGTCTATCTGCAGCAAGGAGCACGGGGGTCAACAATAATAATGAACAGCAAGATTACAGTATGAGAAGACACGGTTGCAACGACAGAGTGATGATGTCGAAGTCGACAACGGAAAAGGATTTAGGAGTTAATATCGACAAAGAGGTGAAATTTTCTAAGCATATTGAAGGTCAAGTTAATAAAGCCAATAAACGACTTGGACTGATCAGACGCTTTTTCGAGTTACTAGATGCAAAAACGATGAAGCATTTGTTTGTTGCTGTCGTGCGCCCGAACCTAGAGTTTGGAAACGTCGTGTGGTCACCGAAATTTGAAAAGGACAAAAATTTAGTAGAGAGTGTTCAAAGACGCGCAACAAGGATAGTTCCGGGCTTGAAAGGTGAGTCCTATGAGGAAAGATTAAATATTATGAAGCTTCCAAGCCTCAGTTATCGACGTCTGCGTGGGGAGCTCATTGAAGTATACAAGTATACTCATGGCTTATACAAGGTCCCAGAAGGATTACTAGAATTTGAAACAAGAACCAACATCAGGGGCCACGGCTATAAATTAAAAAAACATCGTTGTAACACATCCATGCGACAACATTTCTTCTCGCTTCGAGTCACCGACATGTGGAACAGCCTCCCTGATAGCATCGTTGACGCTCAGAGTATGAACGCCTTCAAAAACAGACTAGACGAAGCTATGCAGGAGCATATGTTCAGTCTTAAAATGCCTAGCAAATTACGGACCAGGCAATAAGTCCAGCAGCTATCTCAATCAATCGTCAGTTATGGAAAGATCGAGTTCAAAAGGCTGGATCCCTTGTGAATCAAGTCACAAAAAGTTCAAGAATCGGCAAAAGGCCATGGGCCTATTTCTTCAACGCCGACACTTCTGTCCGGGGTAGACACAGAAAAGATCACCTGACACTTCTATTCTATTCTAATAACCGATTTATGGTTATTCGCATCGAAATGGCAAGCATGGGATGATCGAGGAGCCAAGGTTACCATGTTTGGAACAGATAAGAGAACCTAATCGATTGGTCGAAAATCACGAGCACTAATCTGGCCTAAGTGATTTCAGATCGAAGTTAGAACTAAGCGTAACTACAGCTTACCCGAGAGTGGAAACAAGAAGTGCGTGTTCCACCTGCCACGAATTTCAACGAGCTAATGACTAAGGCTAACTACGTGTACTTATTGGCTACGTAACTGCTGACGTGGCGCTGAAGATTGGCCGCTGTTGCCGTGCCAGATGAATGTCCTCTACACTCTTACGTACATCGAGTAATCGCTTGTGTACATCGAGTAGCCTCTTGTGTACATCGGGTAATCGCTCGTGTACATCGAGTAACCTCTTGTGTACATCGGGTAATCGCTCGTGTAAATCGAGTAACCTCTTGTGTACATCGGGTAATCGCTCGTGTACATCGAGTAACCTCTTGTGTACATCGGGTAATAGCTCGTGTACATCGGGCAGTCGCTTGTGTACATCGGGCAGTCACTTGTGTAAATTGAATCTAGTATGTCAATTCTGAAATAAACGTAACATAAAATAAAATTTAAGTAAAAACATCAGTGAAACCTTAAATGTTTGTATTTTATGTTTTCTCATTATACAGTTATGAGGCCGAACTGTGACTGATGTTGTTGATTTGAAATCTCTCCGCAATAATGGTAATATTAAGTAACGAACTAATAAAATTCAAATAATTTTTTAATTTTCTTTATTAATATAATTTATTGTATTTTGTTCAGCGAACGTTCAGCCAGTGTGCGTGCAACATCCACTTTCGCACGACAACTCGTCGAGCCTGACGGCCCTAAGCGCCGGCTACAGCATCGATGATGCTGGACGTAAGACGCTACCACTACACTGACTACAGCCTACATCCCCCAGACCCCCGACCCTTCATCCTCACCCCCATCATCCCCCCTGACCCCGACCCTTCATCCTCACCTTGAGCATCCCCCCTGACCCCGACCCTTCATCCTCACCCCCATCATCCCCCCTGACCCCCGACCCTAAAAGCTCTCATCATCAATAACATCTTTCTCTTGCATTCAGATAATTGTTGCAAGTTTATATTAATTTACTATTCTACTCATAGCAATATCGTAATATTTGGGATGTAGATAAAATCCACTATGAAAATTCAACGACAATTTAGTGATGAGAATTTTGAATAGAATTTTTTGATTTCGTTAGCTTTAAATGCCCGAGGCTTTATGACAGTTTGTGCTTGCAAATGATGAATGAGAGCACTACCAATGCAGTCATAACTACTATTGCGGTTACAACGTTTGCAGGCTTTAGCAATGATGTTTTGTGGCATACTTTACAGTGTATAAAGTTAACAAAAATTTACATCTTAATCGCACTAGGACTTAAGGAATAATGGGCAAAAGAGTGAATAAATGTTTTTTCTTCTCCAAGAAACGTAACGTCGAATGTATAAGAGAATAAATTACTAAGACACGCAATAAATCATGTTTCGAATTAAAACTATCGCTTGATAACCGAATCTCGTTGTGTAATGCATATATTAGTTTTTGGAATTTTAAAATCCAATTTTTGCGATGTTCCCAACTGATATTCTGGTAAGAAATTAGGTTTACATTCTATATATATATATATCAATCAAATATCCATTTAGACAATGACTATAAATTAATAGCTTCCATCAATTTACATATTAACTACAAATGCCTGAATCAGAATTATAAAACGCAAATTTCTGACTAGGTGGGCCAAGGTTAATTAGGCAAAGCGAGTAGGCATGTTCCGGCATTTTACTAGACACTTGATTATTTAATTAGAATTTGTTCACTAGTTGGCACATGTCTCTGAGAGAAATTTTATATTATACTAACAAGATTGATATTTAGGAAGGCAAATATTTAGTTAGGCAAATAAGTTTGTACTGAAAAGAAATGCAAATTCTGATCAGTAGTCGCTTGTGGCACTCAGAGCTGCAGTTCGGGACCGGCCTGGAGGTTGTGGGGCGGCAGATCAACCAAGTTTGTTCCGACTCGCGTTTTGTGAACTTCAACGTCCCGCCTGAGAAGTACACTTGTGCCTCCAACATACTGGCATGCGTGAGTACACTTGTACCTCCAACATACTGGCATGCGTGAGTACACTTGTACCTCCAACATACTGGCATGCGTGAGTACACTTGTACCTCCAACATATTGCCTGCTCCCCCAACATTCCGGGTTCTTTCAACTTATTAAAAAGAGTAGATAGTTTTTCTCACACATTATTATTGAAGTGTAGTCAAAGAGATATATTTAGCTCATTAGATCCTCTGAGTTAATATGGCTTATATATTATATATTGTATATTATAATATATAATATTTGGCAGGAATTCCTGGCTAACCCCCCCGTGCTGTTGGAGGAGGAGATCAACGGGGGGACGTACCTGGTGGTGGGGGTGGGGGGTGACAACAGTAACTTCTGCAAGGGTGACGCGATGGCCTTCGTGCGCGTGGGTGAACACTTGGCCTGGATCAAGAGCATCGCCTTCCCCCAGGGCGACCCTGTACTCACGGCCTTCGGATGAGCCCTTGAACTTCCATGCTAATATTAAGGGCAGCGACTTGGTCAAAAACCGAAAATTTCGACTTTTCCGTTTATTAGGCTCATTTTAAAGGTCCAGAAAACGAAAATTTTGACTTTTCCGTTTTTTAGGCTCATTTTAAAGGTCCAGAAAACGGAAATTTTGACTTTTCTGTTTTTAGGCTCATTTTAAAGGTCCAGAAAACGGAAATTTTTACTTTTCTGTTTTTAGGCTCATTTTAAAGGTCCAGAAAACGAAAATTTTGACTTTTCCGTTCTTAGGCTAATTTTAAAAGGTCCAGAAAACGAAAATTTTGACTTTTCCGTTTTTTAGGCTCATTTTAAAGGCCCTGAATACGAAAATTTTGACTTTTCCGTTTTTAGGCTCATTTATAGGTCTAGAAAACGAAAATTTTGACTTTTCCGTTTTTTTAGGCTCATTTTAAAGGTCCAGAAAACGAAAATTTTGACTTTTCCGTTTTTTAGGCTCATTTTAAAGGCCCTGAAAACGAAAATTTTGACTTTTCCGTTTTTAGGCTCATTTATAGGTCCAGAAAACGAAAATTTTGACTTTTCCGTTTTTTTAGGCTCATTTTAAAGGTCCAGAAAACGAAAATTTTGACTTTTCCGTTTTTAAGGCTCATTTTAAAGGTCCAGAAATCGAAAATTTCGACTTTTCGTTTTTTAGGCTCATTTTAAAGGTCCAGAAAACAAAAATTTTGACTTTTCCGTTTTTTAGGCTCATTTTAAAGGTCCAGATAACGAAAGTTTTGACTTTTCCGTTTTTTAGGCTCATTTTAAAGGTCCAGAAAACGAAAATTTTGACTTTTCCGTTTTTTAGGCTCATTTTAAAGGTCCAGAAAATGCGTCATCTTAAAAGCCCAAAGCCATGTTCGTGTGTTCATTTGTTCGTTCACGAGAACCGTGGAAGCGCAAGTAAAACCTATACCTTCATTGATCACAAATTTCCGTTTTTTGGCTCTCCTGAAAAGGTTAAATTTTCATCTCAAAAACCTATCTCCTCTTTTGATTTTCAAGCTACAGCATTGAGATAGATAATTCGATTCATAAAAAAATCTTTTTCGATTCCCAGGTCATATTCTCGATTACGCTTTAGTTTGTATTATATATTGAAAAAACAGTTGGGGTGAGAGGGCGAAAATAAAAAAGAAGAAAATTCCCAATCCCCACTCAAATAAATTAGAATTTGTAGAAAGTCGTCAGTGGATCGATAGATTTGGTCTTTACGAATGTCTTTCGATCTTGTAGCACGAATTGAATGAGGAGATAGAGTTTTTCAGTGCCTGCTTTTATGACGTTTTCTATGAATTTCACGTTATCCATAATTTTACCAACTTTTAAAATGATCCGTCAGTAAATTAGAAAGTTTTTTTGGCCAAGACGCTCACCTAGGAAAAATAAATTTGTATGAACCACTTCATAATATAAAATTCCGCGAAAAGAGACGTTCTATTATTACCATTTGTATGAACCACTTCATTATATAACAATTTCGCGAAATTAAATATTCTATTATTAACATATTTGAGCCCCAAAAGTCGTTCCTACTAGTATTGAACTAGCAGTGCACTAGCGCATGCTAGCTTACATACACAAGGCGGGAACAAATTACACTCGAAAATAAGAGTGGCAAAAAACTGGAAAATGTGAGTAGCACATACACTCAAAAATGTGAGTAGCTCACACACTCAAAAATGTGAGTAGCTCACACACTCAAAAATGTGAGTAGCTCACACACTCAAAAATGTGAGTAGCTCACACACTCAAAAATGTGAGTAGCTCACACACTCAAAAATGTGAGTAGCTCACACACTCAAAAATGTGAGTAGCTCACACACTCAAAAATGTGAGTAGCTCACACACTCAAAAATGTGAGTAGCTCACACACTCAAAAATGTGAGTAGCTCACACACTCAAAAATGTGAGTAGCTCACACACTCAAAAATGTGAGTAGCTCACACACTCAAAAATGTGAGTAGCTCACACACTCAAAAATGTGAGTAGCTCACACACTCAAAAATGTGAGTAGCTCACACACTCAAAAATGTGAGTAGCTCACACACTCAAAAATGTGAGTAGCTCACACACTCAAAAATGTGAGTAGCTCACACACTCAAAAATGTGAGTAGCTCACACACTCAAAAATGTGAGTAGCTCACACACTCAAAAATGTGAGTAGCTCACACACTCAAAAATGTGAGTAGCTCACACACTCAAAAATGTGAGTAGCTCACACACTCAAAAATGTGAGTAGCTCACACACTCAAAAATGTGAGTAGCTCACACACTCAAAAATGTGAGTAGCTCACACACTCAAAAATGTGAGTAGCTCACACACTCANCCCCCAGCCGTCCCCAGCCCCTCCACGCTACCCCTCCCCCCCTCTCCCAGAGTCCCCTACACCAACAACCGTTTCCAATATTGTAGTTCGATTTCCCAAGTCGAGTCGGGATCTCTTGCCAGTTATTTGCCAGGTTCTTTTGAATTAAGATTGAAACTTATTTTCATTGATGCTAACATCTACACATATATATACATACATATGTTTGTGAGAGTTATCTTCCCTGTGAAGCTATTATTCTTGATAGTGACTCGTGATGTTCGTGTGACTCGTGATCCTTGACCAAACGCCATGTTCTTCAGCACACTAGTTCGGAGCCAGGCAATCCAAACCACTAGATGCAAGCCTTTAATTGATAGCTTAACGAGAAATGCATTATGGGCGTGCAATGTACGGGAGCGCAGCCGTGCACCATCAATTTTGTGCACCAATAAGCCCTGAATCGAACGCCTTGGATTTTTCCGGACCTACACCAATCAGCCGTGCACCACTCGGCTTTGTCCTCTTCCGGCCTTGACCACCACCTGCCGTGCACCACCAGGCCGCGGATCGAATAGCCGTTCGACCGAGGGCTGGTTCGACCCACGGCTCAGCTCATGGTCAACTCAGCCATTCATCCAACTCTGGTTGATAAATGAGTACCTGGCTTGTCCAGGGTGTTGTGTAATGCAATCAAATGGTTCTGGCGGGTCAGCGAGCCAGTGATGGTCGTAGAACTTCCAGTGGTACCAAGTGCCCGGAAAAACTGACCTATTACCCCCCCTCCCTAGTCGCCACTGCCAGGATGGGCAATTACAACAACAACAACAACCCACGGCCTAGATACGGACGGCTTGAAGTGTTGAAGGCTACATTCCGGAAGGCAGGAATCATGATGGTCCATTACATCCAGGGCAGTGGTGGTCTTCGGCAGGCGACCCTAATGTACACTTCTTGATGCATGACTGTGTGTGCACTGCACACTTCTTGATGCATGACTGGGTGTGCACTGCATACTTCTTGATGCATGACTGTGTGTGCACTGCACTGCATCATGCACCTCAATACCCACCACTGCACCAGTGGACCGTTGCAATGATGAAGTACAGAAGACGGGAGGCCAGCCTCTGCCAAGCCTGCACTGCGCGCCTGATCGTTAAGGGAGGCGTCTGTGTCGGCGGCCCCTGGCGCAGATGTTATGATACTTCTGAAGTAGGAACACTTCAAGACTTAAATGAAACCAGTGATACTTGAGTAACATGAGCAAGTAAGAGACTGATACTTGAGCAACTAGAGCAAGTAAGAGACTGGTACTTGAGCAACAAGAGCAAGTAAGAGACTGGTACTTGAGCAACACGAGCAAGTAAGCGACTGGTACTTGAGTAACAAGAGCAAGTAAGAGACTGGTACTTGAGTAACAAGAGCAAGTAAGAGACTGGTACTTGAGTAACAAGAGCAAGTAAGCAACTGGTACTTGAGCAACACGAGCGAGTAAGAGACTGATACTTACCTTGGAGCAACACGAGCAAGTAAGAGACTGATGCTTGAACAACACGAGCAAGTAAGAGACTGATACTTGAGCAACACGAGCAAGTAAGAGACTGGTACTTGAGCAACACGAGCAAGTAAGAGACTGATACTTGAGCAACACGACGAATTAAGCGAATGATACTTAAGCAACACAGGCAAAGTAAGAGACTGATACTTACCTAGGAGCAACACGAGCAAGTATAATAATTAAACTTCAGACGAAGTCTGTAGTTAAAGCGTCAGCAACAGATGTAAAATACATGAGCGCGTGGTAACCGATACAGACCGCGTTTCCTATCAATATTTCATCGTCTCTTTCAATATATCTTCAATTTTGTCTATTCACAACCAATTCCCTACATAACCTCACACTAAGATAAAATACGCTCGAGCTTGCGACTATAACATGCACAGTACATCTCTACTGTTATCACCTCGCGATTTAAGACAGAGGCAAATACTACACAAATAAATTTGTATGGATATAACAATATTTCTGAAAATTTCTTGTTGATAAATCAGCTAAAAAAACGCTCTCTTCTTATGATAATTTGTATCAAAAAATCAAATCCTTGTAAGCTGAGTGACCATCTTGACAGACGTGAATGTTAGTTTTTATTCTGTCTCATCCAATGTAGAGGTGCGTGGTCTCTTCTTACTTGAAGCGCTTGCCAAACAACTAAATAATGAAAATTGACACTCCAGTTAATCGCTAATAGTTCCCGTTCTATTAAAGAATAGTTAAGTTCCGCTGTATTCATCCTCCTAATAATTAATGGTAGAAAACAACCGCAGCGACAGTTGCTGGTATCGTCTGAAGTTTGCATTGCTCATCATACGAGGAACGACGAGCGCGACATGTGCGGCAGTGAATTCAGCGTTGACTCGGGATTGTAATCCAAATCAATACATCGTTTCATCTCTTCCTTAGCATATCAGTTAAACATGCAACATGATTAAATCTTCTATAAACTAGTAAGTTAGTACTTGATGGCAGAATTTTATTTTTTGTAACGAGCTATTAATGACCATATAATTAATTCATAGATTTAAATTATCAGAGAGTGGAACAATTCTTCAAATGCTGTTGGTAGATAAAATATAAGTTTTAGGAAGTAGTTTTAGTTTAATAACGACGTTTTGAATGCAACAAACATTCATTTTCCTGTTACAAAAAGCATTGAATATTGAAATCTCTTGAAATCCAAGAGATAGACTCAAGTCAAGACTTAGTCTCGCAAGCAAGCATCCAA